GCATCGTGCGCTCTGTAGGGATCCGCCGGAGCCTCGAGGAGGAAGGGCGACCTAGCGCCTCTCCCTTCTTGTAGGTCTACGGGGCCAGCAGGGCTCTGAGCAGATGGCCCTGCCCGTGGGTTTGTGGCCTCCAAGCTGGAGCCCTGGGCTCCGCTTTCCTCGCCCGGCTCTCGGCCAGCGGACGTTTGGAACGAGGGCGTACGGTTTGCCGAGGCGCGGGGCTGCAGATTCTAAGAACGTGCTAAGGCTGGGCCAGCGCTTCCTTCCTGCGACCATACTTAAAAACTACAGGGCGCGCGGGGTGGGTGGGGGTTCCGCTTTGGCCACACCACAAGGTGCCTCCAGCTTTTCAGTAACGCTCCCAAGGAAAGGGCAATGGGGGCCAAGAGCATCTGCATTGCAGAGAGGTGGGCTTGGGAGGACCACAGAGCCAGATCCACGAGCTCTTGTAGGTCACCAGGCAGGCAGGCAGGCCTAAGGGATATGGTGTGTGTGGGGTCCCTTCACCTCTTAGCGACAGCTTCTAGATTAACTTTATTCATTCACTAGGCGGGCAAGGCTGCCCTAAGCTTATTTAGGCCTCAGCGAGGCGTTCTTTCAGAAAACAGAAACAGACAGTCCAGCTAAGGGAGATCGACCCATGATGGCTAAATTTAGATTTGCAGTTTAGTCTGAATGGGCCCCATTTTTACTGAGGTAATTCTCATCATCACGCTATTTGCATCACCTGGCAACAGTAGGCCAAAGGTCAACTTCCTAATCCTCAGGGCCTTTGTAATTGGATATATGGGTCATGACTCCTTGAGCTTCGTATCAGATTTTTTTTTTTAAGATTTAATTATGTATACAACATTCTGCTTCCATGTATTATCTGCACACCAGAAGAGGGCACCAGATCTCATTACAGATGGCTGTGAGCCACCATGTGGTTGCTGGGAATTGAACTCAGGACCTCTGGAAGAGCAGTCAGTGCTCTTAACCCCTGAGCCATCTCTCCAGCCCGTATCAGATGTTATATATATTTACATTACAATGTAATATATGAAGTAGCAATGAAAAGTTTCATGGTTGTGGGTCACCACAATATGAGGAACTGTACTAAAGGGTCTAAGCATTAGGAAGGCTGAGAACCCTGTTGTAGTGGGTGGTGTCATCCCTGGGCAGGGGATCCTGCAGCTTATAAGAAAACAGGTTTGCTTATTTATTTAATGGTTACAATAGACATTTGTTTAAAGCAAGGGATCTGCAGGGCAAATAACTCTTGGATTGTGATTCAGGTTGAAACAACTTCTTGAAATATGCTGAGACCAGGGTCATCCACAGACCTCAATGACATGCTAACTTCTTGGCCCATTCTTTTTTCTTTCCTCTTCCGAATAACCTCTTTGAGATAGGGTTCAAGATAGAATTTGTCCTCCTCATATTTTGTTCACTGCTCCTTAGGCAAGATCTGATGCCCGCATGGTCAGGTCCAGGGCTCTCTTAATTTGAAGCATTCTGTCATCACATCTTCAGCCTCATACATTGTATCATCTGTCATTAAACCCAGCTTGTTGAAGCCTGCAGCCTTATAATACCATTTTCAAAAACCATCCAGCTGCTTGCTTGTGACAGGCTGCCTATTTTTGGGTTTTTGTTTTGTTGAGACTCTGTTTCTCTGTGTAGCCCTGGCTGTCCTGGATCTCACTCTGTAGACCAGGCTGGCCTCGAACTCACAGATCCGGCTGCCTCCTCCTCCTGAGTGCTAGGATTAAAGGCTTGCGCCACCACCCAGCTCAGACTACATTTTGAAAGAAGATTTATTATGAGTGTTGGGCCTGGTGCCCACAAGCCAGAGAGGGCCCAGGACCCCCTAGAACTTGTCACGGATAACTAGCCTACAGGTGCCAGGAACCAAACCACTCCTCTGGAGAAGTGCTAAGCCATCTGCAGCTAGCTCCCTTCAAGTTCAATTTACAGAACGTTAGCCACAGTTGACACTATTACAAACTGTCAGTCTTCACAGGTCCACCTTCCACACCCCTGGGGCTTAGCATCTTTGACTCCATGTTGCTGAACATCAAACCTGGGGGCTAGCATCACAAATCACAAAAAAAAGGCAGGTGGCATTTCCTAACCCAGAAGCTATTTTACTAGTGCTACATACATCTTAAAATATCTATTCTTGCTGGGTAGGGGTGGTGCAAACCTTTAATCCCAGCACTCGGGAGGCAGAGGCAGGTGGATGTTAGTTTGAGACCAGCCTGGTCTACAAGATCAAGTTCCAGGACAGACTCCAAAGCTTCAGAGAAACCCTGTCTGGAACCCCACCCCCCACCCCCCAAAAAAATCTATTCTTGAAACCAGGGAGAAATGAAAATATTAGTATGGCTGCCCCAGCCACCCCCTCCAGTGCTGGAATTACAAGCGTGAGCTACTGTTTGTGGCCTTCTCTGTAGGTGCTATGGAACTCAGGTCCTCATGCTTCTGAGGCATCTTAGACCACAACTGCAGACAGATCTAGCAGGGACTAGTTATCTACCTTGACCAGTTAAAAAAACAAGCCTCATGGTACATGCCTTTAATCGAAGCACTTGGGAGGCAGAGGCAGGTGGATCCCCAAGTTCAAAGCCAGCATGGTCTAGAGTGAGTTCCACAGCTACACAGAAACTCTTGAAAAATAAAAGAACAGAAAGCCCCATGATGTTAGGGAGATGGCTCAGAGGGGGAAAGCACTTGTGATGCAAGTATGAGAACCTGAGTCTGAATCATCAAAACCCACACAAAAAGCCAGGCATGCCTGGAGCCCCAGCACTGGGAGCTCACAGCCAGTCAGCCATCCTAGACAAAGGGCAAGGCTTCTTAGAGAACAGAGCACCAGACACCAGCAAACACCCACCCCCTCTCTTTTTATTTTCTCTTCTGTTTACTAGGTCACCTCTACCACAAAGCTAATTGTCTTAATGGCCGAGTTCTTTGCTCAATTTTCCATACTCGGATCATTAACAGAAAGTAATGTTTGTGTGCTTGAAAAGACCAGAGCACAAAGTGCTAATTGTGGGCTGGGAACTTTCCTCATCATTAAGGGATAAAGGAGGGAGGAAACATCCCTGTAGCGAATACAGTTGTACAAATGAAAGACTCCTTCCTGTCTAGTAGAGCCCACAAGCCAGTCTGCTTCCTTTACTGAGATGGCCTTCCTCTCTCGGGTGCCTGGCTTGGAACTGGAGCAGGCTTAAAGATATAGAGCTCTGCTGTGCTTGCAAAAGGGCTCCCGGTCAAGTGTAAACTACAATTGTGATGGCAAGTGCAATCATCACTGCTCATTCCAACTTTTAGCCATGGACCCAACCACTCTGTCGTGTGCCCAGTTTCCTGCATAGCAGACAGGATTATCACAATCCAGGGGAGCAGGGAGTCCCCACAGTAGACAAGACACCAGAGATAAGAAACTTTTATTTGTAGCTCCCGAGAACACAGTTGCTGAGGGACAGGACTACGCTCTAATCTGACTAGCTCAATGAGAGCAGACACAGATGCTTCACTGTTCGATGGCAGTAGGCACAGGGGTTTCCGAAAGAAAAGTGTTTCTGTAAGAACCTTGTCCAGGGAGAGGACACCTGCATATGACAGTGCCAGGGACACTCAGCTCCCTGACCAAGTTCAATGCTCCGCTTGCCTTCCCCAGAGCAGACACTATTGAACAACAAAAAAAAAACAAAAACAAAGAAACTCTGCTCTTGGATTCTCTTCCACTTCATTAGATTTTCCGTGTCTGCTCAGGATAAGGAGCAGGCTGATGATGGCAGACAGTGAATGCCATGTCATTTATCCACGGGCTCTGTCTTCCTGCTATCTCATTGAGTCCTCCTCACCAGCCTTGTAGAGACTTCCTAGCTGCAGCCTATTCCAGGCTGATACACTGCTGTGTAGGTCCAGGGTCAAGGCAGCTCCAAGTTAGTCATCGACTGTGATGTTCCGGAAGAGGTAAGCCATGGACTCGCCATTGTGGATTCTCCGGATCGCCTCAGAAAGAATCAAGCTGATGTCCACAGTCTTTATCTTGGGACATTGCAGTTTCTGGAGCTCATGAGGGACAGTGTTTGTCACCACCACCTAGTTACAAAGCAATGGAGAGTACACAATTACTCTTGTGTCAGGAAGTAGCTAGCTACAAAGAAAAGCATATCTAACATTTAATTTAATGCCCTGAGCTCAAGCAAGCTCAAATGTTTGCTCCAGAGGGCTCCCTTTAGTGGTACTGGGAGCTGGACACTTCACACATGACAGCTGAGTGTGCTCCACTGAGCTAGAGCTCAACCTTGGTTTTCCCCTTGAGGAGAGTCTTGATATGTAACCTAGACTGGAGTACAAGTAATTCAACTCTCAAGTGCTGGGGTTACAAGCATCAGATCCCATCTAGCCAAGGTATAGGTTTTTACAAATTGAGCATCCACTGGCTCAGAACTGAAGTCCTGAGACTGTCCAGCCCCACTCAAAACTATCACCAGGGACGATTTCAAGTATCAAATGTGACTATTTTTAACACGAAGATGCAAACAAAACTTTATACACAAATCCCAATTCCTAAACCTACATTTGCCTGAACAAGGCTGCTAGCAAAAAGTACTGTTGGACAGGTAGGCATCCTAGCCACCCAACTTAACACCAAGTCACTTTAACATTCCCAGAAACTACAGCAGCAACCTGGCCTCAACCTGAGTTCTAACCCTTTAAAGCAGACACACCTCATCAATGGAGGACTCCTCAATCAGACGGGGGGCTTCAGCGGACAGGATGCCGTGTGTAGCCATAACATAGATCTTGTATGCGCCTCTCTCTTTCAGGATCTCTGCAGCAGCCACAAAACTCTCCACATCGTCAATAATGTCATCCTGCAAGGAGAGACTGTTTCAACCATTCCACCCCAGCTGAGAAAGACACGCGTCTCTGCTGCAGATGGCTTCAGCACTGTGAGAACACATGCCTGGCCCGAGATGTGAGCATCTTGGGACAGCCAGAGTGGAGTGTGTCAGCAGAAGCAGTGAGGCTCCTAGTACCTAGGTATGTGTGACATGGCAGCTCAAGCTGTCAGGGAAGCTTCCTTCCTTCAAACTCCTGACTCACTCCATAGAGTCAGCATGTAGCTTATTTTGTCCCAAGAGAAGGTGACATGAAAGGAAGATAAAGGGAGCAGCTGCTGGTGTGGCTTTCCTTCTAGTCCAGTGACAGCAGCCACAAGCCAATGCAAACCTAGGCTACACTGGAACGCTTGGTCCCTTGGTGACAATTGCAAAGGATCATCTTATGGTCCTGAAGTGAGCTGGTCTGGGAGGACCCCTAAGATGAAGGTCATGGTGCCCAACTGTCCTATGGGAGGTACTGGGCTTTAATTTGTCAGCTATGTGTTAATTTCTAGTCACTGACGTAAAGATTGTTACTTTTTTTTAAAGGGGACTGAGTAAGGAAGGACAATGGATCCAGTGGAATCCACCGTCACGCTGGGGCCCCCACTGACTAAGCCACCAGTGTCACCTCTGTGCATGAATGATGACGACGCATCCATACCACTATGATTGCAATCCGTCCTCCGACGTCTCCAACCACTGTGATTGGTGGCTTCTCTTTGGCCATCATCACTAGCAAAACAAATCACAAGACCCCAGTTAGTTGGATGACCAGATAAATGTAATCATAAGCTGGTGGCCAGCTACAGTACAGAC